CTGAATGACACCGAGGAAATTATTTGAAGAAATTCTTTTTATATCTATATTTGCCCTATGAAAGTTTTTAATTAAAGCATTTGTTATTTTCTCATCATTTTCCAATTTACTTTGATTGTTAAGTGTCATGTATTCTTCAAAGTTAAAGGCCTATAAGAACAAACTGACCAGCCTAAGAATAAAATTATATTTATTTCCTAACTAAGAACATCAATGTTACTATGTAAGTTATACCTTGCCCTCAAACATTATAAACAGTTGCCATGGTGTTTCTAAAATAAGAGTTTTATAGTTAATGTGTAGAGGATTAAAGAAAGGTACTAAGGGATCATGCTTATCCTAGGATCTCACAGAAGACAGGACATATTTAATTCATCTTGTGCACTACAGAATGGGTTTTTCAGACACCAAGCATATGGGATTTTTTAAAAATGTAACAGAGGCTTGGTGCCCATAGCACAGTGGTTATGGTACCAGCCACATACACCAAAGTTATGGGGTTCAAACCCAGCCTGGGCCAGCTAAAACAACAATGACAACTGCAACAAAAAAATAGCTGGGCATTGTGGCAGGTGCCTGCAGTCCCGGCTACTTGGGAGGCTGAGGCAAGAAAATCACTTAAACAGTAAGTTTGAGGATGTTCTAAGTTGTGATACCACCGCACTCTACCAAGGGCAACATAGTGAAACTCTGTCTCAAAAAAAAAAAAAAAAAACAACAAAACACCCTAATAGAAGCAGAGTGGCCAGGCTCGGCACCCAAAGCTCAGTGAATAAGGCGCCAGCCAAATACATCAAGACTAGCGGGTTCAAGCCCAGCTCAGGCCAGCTAAACGACGATGACCAAAAAATAGCCAGGTGTTGTGGTGGGCACCTGTAGTTCCAGCTGCTTGGGAGGCTGGGACAAGAGAATCGCTTAAGCCCAAGAGTTGGAGGTTGCTATGAGCTATGACGTCATAGCACTCTACTAAGGGCAACATAGTGAAACTCTGTCTAAAAGGAAAAAAAAAGAGGCAGAATGGCCTATTTGGTCTAGTTCTAAAGGCATTTGTCGAGTTAGTTGGTTTACCCTGGCTTTACCTCTGGTTGATGCTTTATGTTAATAGGGGGCAAATTCCTGTATCTTTTCTCCCAAGCTCCTAGCCTGCCTGCCTATTAGTGACTTGCCCAGACTGGGATTACCAGATACCAGGTGTTTTATGTGGAGGTGATTTTTCACCTTTAAACTGTAAGCCAAGTATAAGAAAACCTTGATAGCACTATTTTATATCAGTCACTAAGACTTTTTTTTAAGTTATTTATTATTAAAACTTCGCCAAGGGCTCGGCGCCTATAGCTCAACCGGCTAAGGCGCCAGCCACGTACACCTAAGGTGGCAGGTTCGAATCCCCAGCCCGGACCCGCCAAACAACAATGA